TGCTGCTGCTGCTGTCTTCGCCGCTGTTGCTTGCCAGCATGAGGCTTCGCTAGCTGGCTAGCCAAATGGCTAGCTGGAAAGCTCGGTGGCTCGTTTAGACACAGCTAGCTAGCCAGCTAGCCTGTTGGCTAGCTAGCTAGTTAGCCTCTTAAGCTAGCTAGCTAGCTAGCTAGGCAGCTAGCTAGCCAGCCAGGTAGTTCCACAGCTTACTCAAACAGTAGCTAGCCAGCTAGCTGGCTCCCCGGCTGTCTAGCCAGCTAACTAGCTAGCTAGCCAACATAGCCGCCCAGCTTGCCCCAGTCCCAGCTAGCTAGCTGCCTAGCCAGCGTAGGCTTTAGCTAGCCACCAGCCCAGCTAGCTAGCTAGCTAGCTAGCTAGCTAGCTAGCCACCTACCTAGCTAGCTAGCTAGCCACCTACCCAGCTAGCCAACTGGTTAGCTGCCTAGCTAGCTGGCCACCCGGCTAGCTAGCTGGGCTAGCTTGGCTAGCTACATAGCTTTTGCCCAGCGAGCTGGCCGCCCGATTAATAGCTAGCTGGGCAGCCGGCTCCCCAGCTAAGCCCCAGCTAGCTAGCTAGCTAGCTAGCTAGCTAGCTAGCATCCCAGTTAGCTAGCTAGCTATGCAGCTAGCTAGCTAGACAGCAAGCTGTCCAGCCATCAACCCTTCTAGCTAGCTAGCTAGCTAGCCAGCTAGCTAGCCAAAGCCGTAGCTAACTGGCTATAAGGCGGCGCGGCCAAGTGACCCCGCTGCAGCTCAGCTAGCCACTGCAACCCACCTAAACCCTAAACCCTAAACCCTAAACCCTAAACCCTAAACCCTCGGAACAAAGGAGCCCCTCAGCTGCTGCGCTGCCCACAAAACCGCTTGAATACCATCACCGGTAAACCCTGGACCCTAAACCCTAAACCCTAAACCCTAAACCCTCGTACATTTGAAAGTCCACTCGTCTCTTCCTTTTAAAAGCTGCAAGGAGCAGCTAGCTGCAGCAAGGAGCAGCTAGCTGCACCAAACTGCACAGCTAGCCACGGCCAACTTCACAGCTAGCCACAGCCAGCCAAGTGGCCAGCTAGCTGTACATAGCTGGCCAGCTAGCCACAGCTAGCTGGCCAGGCAGCCACAGCTAGCTGTAGCTAGCTGCCCCGCCAGCCGCAGGCAGCCACAGCTAGCTGAGCAGCCAGGCACAGCTAGCTGCCCAGCCAGCGCCAGCTAGCCACAGCTAG